CACACACACACACACACACACACACACACACACACACACACACACACCCCCGTACGCACGCTCTGCTTAATTTTAAACCTGGATTAACTCATTTTAAACCTAGTTTTACTAATCTTTGATTAGAGCTAATCTTAGATTAAATTAAACCTTGTTGGTGCAATCCAGCCTAAGAGATATGGGGTTCTCTTCCTACACTAAACTCTGTCATGCCTGTGTCTGTCCAGTGTTGGATTATGTTGCTGGGGTATGGGGCTATAAAGAACAGAAGAGATGTGAGCAAGTCCATCAAAGAGCTATTAGGTATTTTTTAAGAGTTAATAAGTATGCACGCAAACACTGGAGATATGGGTTGGGAACCTTGCGAAGTTCGATGGGTGGTGTGTATGTGTAGATTATGTAGATTTCTCGGTATGAGTGACAGTAGACTTTGTAAGAAAATGTTAATGTGGGACATGCAGATGGGTTGGGCTGAACATATGCACACATTATTTCAGAAGACAGGTTTTGAGGAATCTTATATTCATAGGGAGAAGGTAGATACTGAAATGATTAAAGAGATTGTTTTCCAGCAGCTAAAACAGAAGTGGACCGTTGAGGTTTGGAACAAACCAAAACTTAGAATTTTCTGTTGGATTAAAAATGAGTTTGGTGTAGAGAATTATGTTAAATATAATTTGTCTAAGAGGAGAAGATCATTGTGTGCCCAGTTCAGGTCAGGTATTCTTCCTCTGCATATTGAAACAGGACGTTGGGTTGGAACAAATGAGGATGACAGTTTTTTATGTGTTCTCAATGAAATTGAAAATGAAGTTCATTTTGTTTTGTATTATCCATATTATCATGATTTAAGAGTGCAGTTATTTAACAAACTGGAAGTGGAAGAGATGAGACAGGATACAGATTTGCTGGCATGGTTATTTGAACATAAAACATTTTTATTTGCAGAATTTATAGAAAAGGCCTGGGTTAAAAGAAATAGGGCATTGTACAGATGATTATGTTTTGTTGTGGTTATGTAAAGTTTAATTTTGTTATGTGTACCGGAAGTCACATGAAATGTTTTTCTGTGTTTCATTGGTGTCATGTAATCCAGTGTGGGATCGGCCACTTGTGGCCTGACACGTAAATAAATAAAAATCAAATCAATCAATCAATCAATCAATCAATTTACCTAAATGATTAATAATGCTGATATTGTTTTTTCACATGGTGCAGTTAGATAGTTTTGAATTAGAGCAATCCCATTATAGAACTAACCCCATATTAAATATGCATTATTCTGATAAAAAAATATTTCCATTTAGCAGAGAACAAGTCCACAAAGTCAGCACACAAAAAATCACTTCAGATGAAGGCAATACAAATATGCTTTGTGAAGTGAAGCATTAATAATAACATACCATTTCTATTCATCCTGTCTAACTTGACACATCATGTGAAGATATCTGGATGGAAACCAGCTCTTGTAGACTGCACCACACTAATGTGCACGTGCTGTAGTGTGTGTTACCTGGCTGGGCTGGTAGTGTTGCAGCCAGCGCTCCAGGTGAAGAGCATAAGCCCCAGGATTAAGGCAGCGTCTCTGAAGGGCCAGCAGCTCCCTGGGGGCAGTGGGGCCAGCTGTTACCACTGCATGGAAAGTGTTGTTGAGGGCTGCAGGGTCCTGGTGGGCTCTCTGATGCTGTGGTCATTAACACACGCACGCACACGCACGCACACGCACACACGCACACACGCACGCGCGCGCGCGCACACACACACACACACACACACACACCAATTAAGTTTGACAGTAAAGAGATTTTAACTGCCTGTACAGTGTGACACAGCACTGGATGTGTGAGGTGGTTCTTACCTGGTACCAGGAGTAAGCCCTGTCAGACGGGTTGATGAGCACTGCCAGGATTTTGGCTCGGGGAAGCAGAGCAGCAGCTCTTTTAGGTGCCACTTCTGTGTCGAAGTAGTTGGCACTTTTTTCAAACATGAAATCTGTGCTGACATTGGAAGGGAATGGGAAGAAGTCCATATACCTGGGGATCACAAATATACCAAGACTACATCAAAACCTCGTACATAGTTTGAACACTAAATGTGTTTTGAACACAAAATAATAAATTATTTTGAAACAGGAAGTTGCCACATTCACTCACTGCGGTCGAGCCAAATAATTCCTGTAAATATAGGCAACATCTTAAAAAAGAAAGAAACATGTTGTGTTCAGGCTGTGACTAAGTATTGAGGACTTTCGGTTACGCCAATTGGAGGTCACTGAAATTAAAGTTGCCACGGTGTGTGAATATGCTAAAACTATGTCTGACTCTGTCGTTTTCTCTGGACACCTCCCAAATCGGACCACTGATGAGACATTTAGCCACATGTCAACATTCAATCGCTGGCTGTCCAGGAAACAATGTGGGTTTTGTTAATAATTGGCAAACGTTCTGGGGAAAACGTGGTCTGATTAGGAGAGACAGCATTCATCCCACTTTGGATGGAGCTGCTCTTATATCTAGAAACCTGGCCAAGTTTATTAGTAATTCAAAACCCTGACAACCCAGAGTTGAGACCAGGAATCAGAGTCGCAGTCTTAAACGCTTCTCTGAGCTTCTAATGCAGTTACACACCCACAGAGTTATACAAACGGTGTCTGTCCCCCGACCACCTACTGTAAATTATCTAAATCTAAAATTAAACAAAGAGGAGTTGTGCATAAAAACCTAATAAAAATTAAAACCTCTTCTGTGACACAAAGGCAAAACAGAAGAATTAAATGTGGATTGTTAAATATCAGGTCTCTATCATCTAAAGCAGAGTTAGTAAACAAATTAATATCAGATTATCATGTTGATTTACTCAGCCTCACTGAAACCTGGTTGTGTCAAGATGAATATGTTAGCCTAAATGAATCCTCTCCTCCCATTCATAATAATACCCACATTCCTCGAGGCAGCGACCGAGGAGGGGAAGTTGCAGCCATTTTTAACTCTAGTCTATTAATCAGCCCTAAATCTAAACTAGAGCATAACCTTTGAAAGCCTTGTTCTTAGTCTTTTACATCCGACCTGAAAAACGACCAGCCACTTCTATTTGTTAGAGTGTACCATGCTCCTGGCCCGTATTCTTAATTTGTATCTGAATTCTCAGAGGTTTTTTTTTTTAGAGTTTTCAGAGTTATTATTGTAGGTGATTTTAACATTCATGTTGACGTTGATAATGACTCCCTGGCTACTGCGTTTATCAGATTATTAGACTCCATTGGCTTCAGTCAGAGTGTACATAAACCCACTCACTGTTTTAACCACACCTTCGATCTAGTTCTGACGTATTTCTTTCTACTCGATTACATGCCACTCAGCAACACTCACTATAGGTGTCTATCAAATAGTGCTGTTGCAAAATTTAAGTAAATGATCGCATCGACGTTAAATTTAATACCATGTCCTTCAGTAACAGAGGTTTCCCATACTGACTTTAAACTCTCCCGAATTGGTCATGTCAATAGAGCTGCAAGCTCGCTGCAAACAACACTCAACGTGGTAGCACCTCCTTACAAAGAAGTTAACAAAGCAAAGAAAGTTTGCTCCTTGGTACAGCTCTCAAACCTGAAAATTAAAACAAATATCGAGAAAATTTGAAAGGAATTGGCGATTAACCAAGCTGGAAGAACCTCGTTTAGTCTGGGCAGACAGTCTCAAAACGTATAAGAGGGCCCTCCGCAATGCCAGAGCAAACTATTACTCAGCATTAATAAAGGAAAATAAGAACCCCAGGTTTCTTTTCAGCACTGTAGTCAGGCTGACTGAGAGTCACAGCTCTATTGAGCCTTGTATTCCTTTAGCCCTTAGCAGTAATGATTTTATGAGCTTTTTTAATGACAAAATTCTAACTATTAGAGGAAAAAATTCATGACCTCCTATATTTTTATAGCTTCTCCCCGATTTCTCTTCAACAATTGACCTCAATGATTTCTTTATTTAAATCATCAATGTGTCTCTTAGACCCAATCCCAACTAGGCTGCTTAAGGAAGTCTTACCTTTAGTTAACACTCACATATTAGATATGATAAATATATCTTTATTAACAGGCTATGTACCACAGTCTTTTAAAGTAGCTGTAATTAAACCTTTTCTAAAAAAGCCCACCCTGGATCCAGAGGTGTTAGCCAGCTATAGACCAATTTCTAATCTTCCCTTTCTTCCAAAGATCCTTGAGAAAGTAGTTGCAGACCAGCTATGTGACTTTCTCTGCGGTAATAATTTATTTGAAGAATTTCAGTCAGGATTTAGAGTGCATCATAGCACTGAGACAGCACTAGTTAAAATTACAAATTATCTTCGGATTGCTCCAGACAAAGGACTCGTCTCTGTACTTGTTTTATTAGATCATAGTGCAGCATTTGACAAAATTGACCACCAAATTCTGTTACAGAGACTGGAACATTTAATTGGTCTAACAGGGTTTGCACTAAGCTGGTTTTAATCTTATTTATCTGATCGTTTTCAGTTTGTTCATGTTCATGATAAATCATCTCTACGTACTAAAGTTTGTTTTGGAGTTCCACAAGGTTCTGTGCTCGGACCAGTTCTGTTCACTTTATACATGCTTCCCTTAGGTAACATCATTAGAAATCACTCTGTAAATTTCCATTGCTATGTGGATGACACACAATTGTATCTATCAATAAAACCAGGAGAAAGAGATCAATGAACTTCAAAAATGCCCAAAAGACATAAAAATCTGGATGAGATCCAATTTCCATATGTTAAATTCAGACAAAACTGAAGTTATTGTTCTTGGCCCCAAACACCTCAGAAACTCTTTATCTGATGATACAGTTTCTCTGGATGGCATTGCTCTGGCCTCTAGCACTACCGTAAGACCCCTCGGAGTAATATTTGACCAAGATTTATATTTTAACCCATTCAAAACAAACCTCATGGACTGCGTTTTTTCATCTGTGTAATATTGTGAAAATAAGGCCTATCCTGTCCCAAAAAGATGCAGAAAAAATGGTCCACGTTTTTGTTACCTCTAGGCTGGATTATCATAATTCCCTATTATCAGGTAGCTCTAATAAGTCTTGCAGCTAATGCAAAACGCAGCAGCACGTGAGCTCACAGGAACTAAGAAACAAGATCACATTTCTCCTGTTTTAGCTTCTCTGCGCTGGTTCCCTGTAAAATCCAGAACTGAATTTAAAACCCTACTCCTAACTTACAGAGCTTTAAATAGTCAGGCTCTGTCATATCTTAGAGAGCTCATAGTGCCGTATCAGGGGGGATTGCTCTGAGACAACAAGGGAGGCTGAACTTCCCCTAAAATTTCATAGAAGAAATGGTTCAAATATGCACTATTGAATTTACATTAAAATAAGAATTTACATTGCATTAAACATGCGCTAGGATGCGTTTAACATCATGACTATGATGTTCAAACGACTGTTTATCATCAAACGTGACCTCCCTGTCATACATTCCCGTGTCAGCACGTTGGACGCAGAGCCTCCAAGCATTCTTATGAGACAGCGCTGAGCAGGTTTTTTTCATGCAGCAAAGCCTCATTGGATAAATGCGACAAAATCGTCACTTCCAGGGAGGCTCAGCTTCCCTGGGACCTAATGGACCAGTAGGCGGGAGAGAACGCTCGGTGTATGCATGATGATTGGAGGAATTGTCTAAAAGGCTGAACCCCTTTGTGATTGACAGCGTTTTTGAAATACACAATGGCATTGTCGCATTTCGAGCTCAGTCCCATGCGGATATTTGCGAGTGGAGTCTTCTGACAGAGTGCTGTCCGGAGTTCCTTATTTCCATAAGCCATATAGCTCATTTTCACCATTTGTAAACCCATTTGAAAATCTCTGAGGTGTGTTTTGCTGTGGTTCTATGGCATGTGTGGTTGAAAAACGGCTTCAATTAAACGTTCCTTTTATAAGTTACTGCCTTGCTACAATATGATAAATTCTATGATATAAACTTAAAGTGAGCTTCCCCTGTTTGAAAGACCAGCAGCCGCCACTGTGCCATATTATCCCACTAGAACACTGCACTCTGAGAATGCAGGGTTACTCATGGTCCTTAAAGTCTCCAAAAGTAGATCAGGAGCCAGGGCCATCAGCTATCAGGCTCCTCTTCTGTGGAATCATCTGGGAGGCAGACACCGTCTCCACATTTAAGATTAGACTTAAGACTTTACTTTTTGATCAAGCTTATAGTTAGGGCTGGCTCAGATTTGCCTTGGACCAGCCCCTAGTTAGGCTGACATAGGCCTAGTCTGCCGGGGGGCCTCCTATAATACACCGAGCACCTTCTCTCTCTCTCTCTCCTTTACTAATACTCATGACTTGATACTGCATCATGCTAACTCGGCTGTACTGCATGTCACTAACTCGGCATCTTCTCCGGAGCCTTTGTGCTCCACTGTCTCGCAGGTTAACTCATATCGCAGCGGTGGCTGGATGGTGTGATGTGTGTGGTTGTGCTGCTGCCGTGGTCCTGCCTGATGCCTCCTACTGCCGCTGTTATCATTAGTCATACTTCTACTGTCATTATACACATATGATTATTGTCACATACATATACTATCATATATGAATATATACCTACAACATATTGTACCACAATAGCTGTTATTATTGTAATATTATTAATTAAATTAATGTTGTTGTAATCTATTATCATTACTGTGTGTCCTGCATATCTCTCTGTCTCTGTCTCTCTTTATGTATCATTTTGTCATACGGATTACTGTTAATTTATCATGTTGATCTGTTCTGTACGACATCTATTGCATGTCTGTCCGTCCTGGAAGAGGGATCCCTCCTCAGTTGCTCTTCCTTAGGTTTCTACCATTTGTTTTCCCCGTTAAAAGATTTTTTTGGGGGAGTTTTTCCTTATCTGCTGTGAGGGTCCAAAGGACAGAGGGATGTCGTATGCTTAAAGCCCTCTGAGGCAAATTGTGATTTGTGATATTGGGCTTTATAAATAAAATTGATTGATTGATTGATGATTTCTGGAGGCAGGGTGCACTGTATGGTAGTCCTGTCTTTACCAGTCAATCCCATTGTCATAGTTTGCTCCACTGAAGAACTGGATCTCCTCAAAGGTGGTGGGACTGGGGAAGGAACTGGTGATTGCTGGATGGAGGCTCAGGAATGAATGAAGCGCTGTAGTGCCTGAAATAAAGACCAGACATTTATAATAATAAAGAGACAGATATAGTATGTAGACAAAGGCCAAGATAAAGATGGAAATAGAGATACAGAGAGCGTGGTACCTGTTTTCTGTGGTCCAATGACGAGGAACTTGGGGAGTCGGTCACAGGTCTTTTCTTTAGACCAGATGTCTTTGTGTCTCTTGTCATGACAAGGGTTCTGAAAAATAATCACATCGAGACTCAGATACATTCAACACCATGCTTTAACTCCAGTGTTCCCTCTACATCTAGTTTTGCCCACAACTTGGTCCCCCTGTGCACAAGACAGTGACATGTCTTTCCTTTTAATTTAATTGAAAGAGCGTTAGGATTAATTCCAAACACCTCTCTACAAAAAATGTAAGCTTTCAAAAACAAAATCAATAATCCGACCTGCCAGAGTGGGTCTCTCTCCTCAGGGAAGATCTGAAAGTATTTCTCAGCAAGCCGGACAGGGGGCAACGTCTGCAGCTTAAGGTTGGTCCAACACTGGACGAACTTCACCAAAGACTCAAAGGTGTACAGACCCAGCCGATCGTTGCCATAGTTAGACAGGTGTGTCATGAAGATACTGATCTGGATTGAGAAAGCACAACAAACTTCACAAGATAGTTTAACATTTACCTGGAGCTGTTGTCACAGCAACAACTCACTGAGCTCAAACCAGCAGAAGTGTAGGCTGACTCAAAAGGACCTAGCTGTTTCTGCTTCTATTTTTCCTTTCTGCAGTATCAGTAGAATTGCTTTTATTAAATAAGAGCTGCTGACAAAGTTCCGCTAATTTAGTGTGGAACACATTTCATTTCCTAAAAAATTAATTTGTTATGTAAAAGCTTTTATTGTTTTAACAAAATAAGAAAACGTTGGGTTTTCATCAGCAGGAACTTCATATGACTCCACACAGCTGAAAGTGAACATGAAAGAGTAAAATAAAGCGGATCTCTAAGGTAAAAACAGGACGCAGGAGAGAAACCTAACTCCAAACTACAGACATTAAGTTAGAAGCTACAACAGTACTGAGAGCTGAACACACAGAGACTTTCAGAAAACGCATTTATCTCCAGTCTCCTGCACAGTGAGACGTGAGATGAGTCTTTCAGGGGGAGAACGGGGGTTGTCAGGGGTTGGCTGTGGTCAGCGAGATGTCACTGCTACCCACTTGGAGGTGGAGGGGCACCCTTTTAACACGGCTCCAGAAAAGGGCCATTTTCAGCTTGTTAAAACTGACAAAGGAAACGTAAATCAGCATGGCATGGTCTGACTTGGCGCAGCCCATGATTCATTTTATAATGAAAAGCTAATTTCTCTCATCTGAACTGAGAGTTTTCTCCATTTCATTCTAGTGCCAGCAGCTGCAACTGCAAGTGTGCAAGAGGTTACGGAGACATATCACTGTTATGTTATTAAACATACATGACTGAAAGGAAAAACTATGCACAATATTGCCTTTGGCAATATCTTTGGGTCAACTCTCCTCTCAAACCTCAGTGGTATCTGCAAGTCTCAAGAGGGGGTTCTTACAGGGTTCAGGAGGACAGTGAGGAATAGTTCTCCTCCTCTGATGCTCTTGTCCAGCTCCTTGGAGCCTCCCGGGTATTCATTATAGAAGATGGTATGGGTGAACAAACCACAAGTCTGCCGAGGCAACACCTAAAACACACACAGAGGTCATTAGTTGTTTGGTGTATATTTGCAAGAGAATGTGTAACCCGAGTTAGATAGAATTGAATGTTAAATCATATTAGAAAATAATATGAGATGAAAATATCTGATAACTACACATGGAAGAGAAAATAAGACACATAGGAAAAAAAACAAGACAGACAGGGTTTAGCTTACATCCTGTTACCGGGAAAACTCTGTGCACGGAAGGTCTCTCTTCCTCTTTGACTGCAGCTGAGAGGAGAGTAACTTTAGCCACCGTAGCACGTAGCTTTCATTAAACTGTATAAAAACCCGATAAAAGTGGATTGGAGACGACAAAGGCAGCGTTGGTAATCCAGAGGGAGTTCGACCGAGGGAGCCTGTATTCACTGGCTGCCGAGTGACGCCGCGTTGGTGAGAAATCTGTAAATAGAAAAATGCTAGCTGCTAAAGTTAACAGTGAAGCTAAAAGTTAACTGAGAAACGCTAGCCATTAGACGCTTCCGCTAGCGATAAGCTAATAATATGAAGCGCTAGCTGTTAGCCACTAACACTGATAGTAATATATAACTGAATATAACTGAAGAGTGCTAGCCGCTAGCTGTTAGCCGCTAACGGCTAATGGTGATTTCTGTCCATTCATACTGTGCAGTAGAAAACATGTTTTCTGTTCAAGTACATTGATTTAGCTGACGTATATGAGTTTAAGTGAAATTTTTACACACTTGAATGTTGTTTTGTGATGTTTAAAGCACATTCATTATACATTTAATGTTTATTTGAATAGTTTTAAGTGCCTTAACCTGTGCCTTGTAAGCACATTAATCTGCACCTGTGTCAATTATTAAAATGGTTGATGCATGTAACTATAGCCTGCTCTAGCATGGTACAGTATACAAAGTACATATTTTTGGTGTTGGTGTAGGCATTTTATGCTAATTGCCATGTGAAAGAGGGAATACTTTGATTTTTCAACTGAGAGGTTATTTTAGTAACTGGGGTTCTATGAAACCTGAGATTATTGTGTTGTTTGTAATGAGATTTTGTAATTACTGATATTCATTTGCTATAATTGTTACTCTTTGGATAATATAAAGTATAATGAAAGAATCTGACTACTGTAAATATATTCTAGCTTTCATTTATGGTCCACTGTTTAGATTAGAAGCTTGAATGAGAGTTCTGACCTTACTCATTATAGGTCAGGTTTTTTGGACCCACCTGGAGTTTGAGCCTGGATCCTGTTGGAAGTTTGATGGCGAGCTACAGCCCGATGGAGCAACATTAAAGACTCAATTGCATGCAGAAGACTGAAATCCTGGACTTCAAGTACAGTGTCCTCACACACACTAGTGACGCATCATACACCGCTCCATAGCGGTATGAACGAGCTATCTAATGGTTCTGGTAACACGTGTGGGACACAAGGACTGAGTTCAATTCAGTAACTAAAGTAACTGAAGGACATTGAAATCTTATTGAAACTTGTTTATTGGACAATTTGAGTTGTGTTTTCTTTGATTACCCAGGTAATTTATTTAAACCTGTATTTTAACTCGTTGGACACTGAGGTTTCCCTCATTTACAGGGACAACGAGTTTACAACAGCAACAAAGCATAAATAAAATTACAGTGAAAAACAATCACAAGGCGATTTACAAAAGTCAGACACCATACATTTAAAATCAGCAAGAGAGGATATATTCTCCAGCCCCAAATCGTGTTGGAGAATATTCCAAGAGTTTGGAGCGTCAAAAGAAAAAGCTGATTTACCAAGCTCTGAATGTACAAAAGGGACCTTAAGAAACATCAAACCACTGGATTGAGTTGAGTAAGATCCAGAGCGCCATTCTAGTAGGGATGAAATGTATGGGGGCTGCTTACCAGTAAGGACCTTGAAAATAAACATATACCAGTGCTTCATGCGTCTGTAATATTTGTAGGATCGCAGTTGGTTTCAGGTAAGCTAACTGGAATAAATTGGCAGAAAATAGCTATGTTATTTATTCTGTGACCGTTAAAAGAGGATCCTGGTGAGTGGTGAGGCATGACTGGGTGTATATAGCACATGTCCCCACCAGTTAACGTTACCTTTCATTAGCTGATAGCTAGTTTAGCTCATGTTAGCTAACAGGCTACAACTGTGGTGTTTTCATTTTATTTTCCCTAGTTGATGTTATCTGCGTATCTGGTTATCGTGAGCACTCGTTTTGGGTTAAAGTGGAAGTGCCCGGAGCTGCCACCCGTGGTCCTGGGCAGGGCTCGAGACTTGGGATCCACTCACCTATGGTCCTGCCTGGGCCTGACCTCTGCGGCCCCCCAGCATGACCTCCGTGGCCTGGATGGATGCTCAAGTGTGGCTGAGAGGAGCGGAGAGGACCGCGGAGATTAGGCCGGGCGGGCCGACACTGTGTATCCCAGAACGGGTGCTCAAGTGTGGGTGAGAGGAGCGGAGAGGACCACAGAGGTCAAATAGTGAAATTTAAGGATGCCTTCGTCTTCGATATGTTGTTAATATGATTTTATGGGCAATTTATCAGTCGAGGTCTCTTCCTCTGCAAAGCAAACTGACCCGGTGGCTACAGGTAATAGCGCAGTTTTGAAACCACTGTTTTTCCGAGATGAAGGACTGATTGTTGAGCTGCTGTTAACAATTAATGGAGTTAACGCCGGATCCCATTATTTAACAGTTTCAACAATAAATTAAGAAGAGTGACGGACACAAAACCTTCAATCTGGCTAAAATACAGCTGAAATGCTAACAAAAAATAAAAAATAAAAAATACAGTGGTGAAGTTGGGATTTGTTTCTTGAAGTTATGTGCTTGTCTTTTCTGTCTCTTGCAGGCAGCCAGGAGAAGCGGACTGGCCATCAGATATTGTTTGTGGAAAATTGAAAATAAAGTTTGTCAAATTGACTTTTGTCTCTTCATTGTGCACACTTAGACACGAAACAGGCTATGGTAACAGTCAAGCTAGTTTTGAATGTTAGCATTGATTTCTCACATTGAATGGTGAAATATTTGTAGTTTGAAAGGTCCGACCTAAATAAATAAAGGTCGTAGTTAATGAAGCATATGAATATTAATGAAGGAGCGCCCACTGAGCACAGCTTCTTTTATTGATAGTTTGAACATCGCGTGGTGGTCATTTTCGATTAAATTAACGATCTAAACTTGATAAATCGGGCGACATCGGCCAGGTGTGCTATCTGGGGTGAGTACTGATATAGAGTATAACATCACTGGGACATGTAACAGTAAAATCACTCCGCTCACAGGTGTTAATGTGTGTTAATGTGTGTGTTAATACAACCGTTAATTAACCAACAGTCACACTCGCTACATTGACACAAACTGACACTATAGCGTTACACCAAGAAGATGGATATTTTCCCCAAAATTACATTTGAATTAAATTATGAGTGGTCGTTATGAGAGGACAAGGAAAAGGAAAGCCAGGACTCTTATGTGCAGACCTCCAGGTGTGTTTGAATCCGGCCGTGCCAACATCCAGGTTTGCTAACGTTTCATCAGCTGAACTGGACGAAGTTACACAGTTGCAGATCAATGTAAATACAAAGTAGTTTGTGAGTTCCTGGCGTGTGTCAGACCGATAAATAGAACATCTATCTATCTATCGCTCTGGCGTGTGTGCTGCGTTGCCTGGCAACAGACCAGGGGAACTGTTTTTTTTTTTTTCGCGGAGCTACATAACATACTTAAATAATTTATTTCATCACCTTTTGTTAACATTTCCTTACTCAGCATTGCTGTTTAAGCTGTTGTTGAACTGTTGTATAAAAGCAATATCACACTCGAGGTCGTGACGTTGTACTGTATATCATCACGGCTGTAATTGCCTTTGACTGAGGCCTCGTGCCATAGTGCCCATGGCCGAATCACAGCCGTGACGATATACAGTACATCACTCCCTCTCGTGAGATATTGCTTAAATATATATATATATATATATATATATATAAAACTCCTGACAGGGGAAGAGGGTGGGAGTGAATGAACCCGGTAAAAGAGTACCCGCCCGGACGGGACGCTCTAAAACTAAAGCGAGCGTGCCCACAAGGAGGCAGGGATCATTTCACTGGTCAACAGTAAATCTGGTGTTCTATTGGTTGGGGGATTTTGACAGGGTTGTTACACAAAAGAATCCAAGCGCAGGGCAGAAATCAGAGCAGAAATTCCACGAGCGCACAGAAACAGTTTGAGCGCAAAGAGAAAAGCCTAAGTTCGAGCAGGAAATCTGTGCGAGCAACATGGTACCTGAGAGCGAGCAACATGGTATCTGAGTGCGAACACACAGTCTGAGCAGAAACAGAGTAGATCCAAGCGCAAGCAGAGGCTATTTGAGTGCAAGGGCAGGGTTTTTGAACGTGAAATCAATAAATAATGCTTTCAAACTGATAGACCACTCTCTTGAATAAAGATAGGGATAAAGCTCCATAGCATCAGAGTTTCATGCAAACCTGATAGTAGAGTATAACTATGGTGCCGCCTTACAGACAATAGAGTCCCTTTTGCCCTATAGTCACCCATTGTCAGACGATCCTGATGTCACATACCACGTGCGAGCCCTGGCTGGTGTCTACACACATAAGGTAGGGGGCAATGTCACATAGACTTACCTGGATACGCTGAAAGGAATAGCCAAGCTGAGTGGGAAAGAGTTTGAAGAGGTGTTGAAGGAGGTGATGTCACAGATAGGAGTCCATTGAAGGTACTGAGCCCAGTGAACACTGCACTTCGCCTCAACACACAGAGAGTCCTGAGCAGGCCACAGAACCCAGCCAACATGAGATCCCCCCACAGCTGTCAGCTAATGCTCCTTCTCCCATTAAGCTTGGTCTGCCTGATCAGAGCACAGCATTTGCTCCCTCCCCCAGGTCAAAGACATCTCTGACTCTAAGCTCCAATGAGCTCAATCCACCTGAAGTGCAAAAGATAGCGGTAGAGCACATAGTCAGGAGTGAGGACAGACCCACACACTCTC